AGTCTGGTGGTGAACCATACCGCACCTCAAATGAAAAAGGCCATGTCAACGTCAAAAAGCGGTGGCAAAGTTCCGACTCTCAGCAGTCCGCGGTTCAAAAAATTAGTAATTAGTGATTACCTTCAAATAATACCCTACAGTAAGTGCAAATGTCAGGGTACGTCAGTGGGAGAAACAATATAAAAAGGCCTACGTTAGTTACATAAGTTGGAAATAGAATTCCTTGCCGTGTACCACATTGTACGTTTTTTTTTTATATAAAGTAGTCTATTGCATTGACGCACCATTACAGTCATTTTTGTTTTTGAAAAAGAAAAGAAACGTGTCAAGAATAAACGGCACTCCTAGGAAACGACTCGGTACTGTCACGAAGTAGACACAGTCAGTGCGTCGTGTCCAATGTGGAACACATGTGATGTATATACACCGCGTAAAATATACATTTACTGTTTTCAGACGAGCCTTCACCAATAAATTTCCACGTCTGAACGCATTCGATTTCACAATGTGCGACCCGATAAATCATGGGGGTTGAAACACGGCTCCGATTCGGCTCTGATCGTTTGAACGCTATTGGGTCGTTGGTTCGGGTTCAAATTAATTTGCGACCTTTGACCATCTTATCGTGAAATCGATTTTTTCATCTAGTTATTCAAGGTAAAAGTTGTGTGCACTTGTACAAGTATTACCAGTGGCATTACTTATGGTATAAACAAATGTAGATAAAAGAATTTATATTGCTCCTGATTTGAACGCGAACGCCCATTGCCACGTGGGTCGGCAAATTACGAGAAAGATACAAGAAAGTCGCACCACTCAACTTTTTGAGGTAGCCCATTTTAAATTATTTTGTTAACAATGTCGGAAATATTTAATGTCTACGTCTACACACAGAAGAGAACACTGCAAATGAAAGTGGACACATGTCGCATTAATTAATATTGGAAAAGTAATTGCAAACAATTATTTTAGGCCATTTAATTGATTTCGATATTGATTCTCAAAGTTAAGTTTCTTTTTCTCTGGTTAGGGAAATAATATATCAGGACTTTGGCGGAATCATAAGTCTATTCCAATTATCGCGTGCATACGCAAAATAACGCAGCAAATAGTGTTTTTTTTAATAATGAAAAGTACCGATAATAATTAGGTTGTAGAAACTATTTTTGTACGGAATTGAAACACCTGATTTCTGCAGCGGGGTCTGTAGTCTTTTAAGCTACTTTGGTCGAATCAAAACGTTCGGTTGTAGTATGAGAGGATGCCATGGAATTCATTTGTAAACTTACATGTAACCGAGTACGCTGACTAAAACTTTAAGATCGGAAACTTACTGCAATGCTACGAGTTACCTGACATCACAATGACGTCATGTATTCTTAGCCAATCAAACTACTAAATACTAACTACTCAGCCACGCCCCCCCCCCATTAAGGAAAGCATAAGACAAAGCAGACTTTGATTTTCAGAAATATGTTACACGTTATCTCAACAAAGTTATGTAAAACAAACCTTAGTCTCCTCAAAGTTCTAATTTGTACCAAATTTTGTTTCTATAATATGCCCACCTTTTAAACATGGGAAAGTTTTGCCGACGTCAAGGGGATTATAGAGAATGGGTTAACAGCACGGGTGTAAGTACATGTATTACGTAATAATACATATTTGACTGATAATTTACACATCTTTATTGTTATATTCTTTCATTTCAACCATCTTCGCCAGCCAAGGACCATTTATTCGGCCGAAGCCTCAACATTAACCCTTGGCAGATTTCACCACGATTTACTGTATGTCGCACGCCCTCAAACGATTATATGATTGACTTCGGCTCATTTGCATCACCCAATCAGAACTCACGAAAAAAACTACACATTACTTGGTAAAATTAAAATGGCGGAATAAAATAAACGTGTTGCTAGGTGTTTCTCTGAACGAGCTTACTGATCATCAAAAGAAAGCGCTTAGTGCTGTATCTGAGGAAATGACATGTTTGTTACAAACACAGTCCCTCGACTGTGTTGCAACGAAGACCGAACAATATGTCATCAGTTTCGACAGTTTTGTCAGTTTACTACAACCATGGAGTTTTCCCAAATATTTAGACATTCCACTGTACTCATTCACTTGCCCACAAACAATTTCAACTCTAGAATAAGAAATTTTGGAAACGTGTCAACGAATATAGACCTTCTGTTCTTGGCTCCGGGCGAAACAGCACACAGCCTACACGCCGCAATTGTTTTAATCTGGGATGAGCTGCCGATCTTCACATACAGTAACTCTGGTTGGTGGCGCCAGCTCCTTGGCGCGCTCAATCAAATGACTCAATTTAGCTTCAGTGAAATACAGCTTTTCCTAACACGATCACTCACGGGTTCGTGGGCCGGTTATGAATGGCCGGCTTTAGCGAAATTGTGCGATTCGGACGATGCATTTCAACTTGAACACCGGACTTTTCGCCTGATTACAACTACATCACATTTGTGTTTTTAATGATCACAGTACGAAAATATTAGTGTGAATTCCCAAAATTAAAAAAAAATACCTGAAATACAACTTTCCTGTAAATCGCGCCCTCAAGCGATAAAGCGCTATTATAACCAGATGGATGACTCGAAGCCCGTTAAACAATGCTACTTCACAACGCCTTCCATAATAAAAATAATTAAACCAACAAAACTTTCCCACAATTCGATTTTTTTAAATATTATGGCCAGGATTTTTTGGCGAAGATTTATAGCAATTAAATATCATCGAAGGTGTGAACAAACTGGTACCACACCAAGAATTCGTTCATTCC